AAATCTCTTGATAATTTCTCCTGCGTATCTTCTTTGATGCATCATCAAACCTCTATTACTCTTGTAGAATTAGATACCAAGGAAGTATGAAATGTCATATATATCTAACATTTCTAATTCCTTGCTAAGATCACATTTGAAGTCTTTGATCTCCTTCTTGCATCTACCTGTTATTAATAAGTCATCGACATAGAGACATAGTATAAGCAATTTACTATTGCCTCTTCTTACATATACTCCATTTTCAGTTGTGCACTTCACAAATTCCTTCTCCCTTATAAAACTATCGATTTTCTTATTCCAAGCTCTTGGAGCTTATTTGAGTCCATACAGGCTTTATGCAGCTTGTACACCTTTCTCTCTTTGTTATGTTTCACAAACTCAACTGGTTATTTAACATAAACTTCTTTGTCTAAGGATCCATTTAGGAATTCACACTTCACGTCCATCTGACATATGTGCCAACTATTTATTTTTGCAAGACCAACAATAACCTGATTGTTTCAATTCTAGCCACAGGTGCAAAAACGTTATCAAAGTCTATTCCTTCTTTTTGTAGAAATCCTTTCGCCATAAGCCTTGCTTTGTGTCGATTTACTTCCCCTTTGGGATTCATCTTCACTTTGTATACCCACTTTACATTAATTACCTTCTTTCCTTGAGGAAATTAGATAAGTGATCAAGTATTTTTGTCTTCGATGGACTTCACTTATTCGTTCATTTCTTTCACCAACTTCGAATCCTTTAATGCTTCAGCTGCATTGAATGATTCGACAGCTGCATCAAAAGCATAATGTACTAGCTCACCTTCGTTATTAACCACACCATCTGATGTAATCACACAATTTTGCAACCTTACAATCATGTGTCTTATTCTTTGAGGTATGCTTGTACTTGGTTGATCTATAAATCTTGGTTCCTCTTGTCAAATTTCTCATTCGACTTCAACTTCTGATTCTTTGAATAAGATTCTTACTGAATCTTTCTTGACATTTTCTGTCCAATTCCATTCCTTAAGCTCATCTATGATCACATCCCTGCTGATCACAATCTGCTTGTTCACTGGGTCGAACAACTTGTAACCTCCTGTCGAATGATATCCTACTAGGATCATCTGACTCAACTTGTCATCAAGTTTTCTTCTCAACTGATCTAGCACATGTCTATATGCAATAGATCCAAATATCTTCAGATTATTCAAGATAAGCTTCACTCCATACCAACATTCTTCTGGAGTAATTTCTTCTAGCTTCTTCGTCGGACATCTATTCAATATGTATGTTACAGTTGACACAGCTTCGCCCAAAACTCTTTAGGTAAACACTTGCCTTTCAACATACTTCTAACCATATTCATGATGGTTTGATTCTTCCTTTCTGCATTTCCATTCTCATGTGGAGTGTAGGGTGGCACCACCTCATGCAAAATCCCATCTTTTTCACATAATTTGTCGAAGTCCTTCGACACATACTCTCTACCACCATCAGTTCTCAAAACTTTGAGCTTTCGACCACTTTGTCTTTCGACCATAGATTTAAAATTGGTAAATACCTCGATTACTTCACTTTTCTTCTTGATAAGGTAAGTCCATAATTTTCGACTAAGATCATCTATGAACGTGACAAAGTATTTGTTACCTCCTAAACGAATCCACATGGATTGATCCACATACATCAGAGTATATGACTTCAAGAATAGCCTTCAACCTGCTTCCTCCATCTTTGCTGAAGTTATTCATGTGTTGCTTCACCTGTACACATTCCTCACACACCTCATTTGGAATGTCAATTTCTGGCAATCCTGAAACCATATTTCTTCTCTTCAAATCTCTGATGTCTCTAAAGTTAAGATGGCCTAATCGATAATGCCATATCCACTCATCTTTGCTAGCTGCATTCGAAAGGCATTGGTGCTCTATCACATTAACTTTGATCTTGAGGGTTCTATTTTGAGACATAGGAGCCTTCAAGATTAACCTTCCATTCGCGTCGACGACTCTCATCATCTTGTCTTTGACAACCACTTTGTAATTCTTTTCGACCAATTGCCTTATACTGAGAAAATTGTTCTTCATGCCTGGTATGTACAACACGTTGGAAATTAATGACATTTTTCCATCTTTCCTCGTAATCAAAACATCTCCAATACCTTCAACTGCTATAGTATTATTGTTTGCGAATTTCACCATGTTCTTTGTTGAGGATTTTAAGTTGGCAAACAAATCTTTCCTTCCAGACATGTGTGATGAACATATTGAATCCAAGTACCATTGATCCTTAAATTTTTCTTCATCTCTTGTTGTAACCATTAACAACATCTCGTCTTATTCATACTTTGCAAACTTTGCATCACTTTCTTGATTCTTTCACTTTTCTGGACAATCACTCGAATAGTGACCATACTTCTGACAATTGAAACACTGAATGTGATTCTTGTCAGGTTTTAGACCACCACCTCTTCCTCTATTCACAACACCACCTCTTTGGTTGCCTTGGTATGGTCTTCTCTAATTCCACACGTTTTCTTCGTGCTGATTTCCTCTACCAGTCAAACTGTTGTAGCCATCTTTAGCTTTATTGTCGAACCACTTTCCTTTTCCTTCCTTGTCTCTTGCTCATCGAGCTTGCAAAGCCATATCACTCTTCGACTTTCCTACAGCTCTTCCATCCATTCTTTTTTCGTGAGATTCAAGCGTCCCTTGAAGCTCTTCCTTCGATAAAGATGACATGTCCTTTGAATCTTCTATGGCAACTACCACATGGTCGAACTTTAGAGCCAAAAATCTTAAGATCTTCGAAACAACAACTCTTGTTGTTAACATCTCTCCACAAGTCTTGATTTGATTCACTAGTTTCATAACCCTGGTGAAGAAATTAGACATGCTTCCGCTATCTTCCATCTAAAGTAATTCATACGTTATTTTGTGAGTTTGTAACCTCACCTCTTTCACCTTCTCAGCGCCTCCAAGCGATTTCTTGAGAATCTCCCAAGCTTCTTTTGCATATTCTACATCACTAACCTTTTTGAATTAACTGGTAGGATGGAGGGGTAAGGCATCATGAGCTTCTGGGAACGAGCTTGTACCCAAATAAGGTAAGGTTCAAGGGGAATAGAATTCTTGCGTCCCAACGTCTCACTATCCACTTTGTTTACCATCATCCAAGCTCGTACAAACCTCTGACGGTATCCTTGATCGTCACTCTCATAGTCGAACGCCACTCCTTGGATGAGCATATTATGAGGACCATTTCTTCGGGCATATCCAAATTGTCATAAAGCTAAGCAAGGGTTGTAAGTGATACCTCCCCTAATGCCAAGCAGAGGGGCATTAGGGAATTCCCCATAACGGTCAATAATAGAAGTGTCTTCCAAAGATCGAGAACACCAATGAATTTCATAGTGGGTGAGGGACATCATCCTTTGAGACCATGTCAATCCTTGCCCGTTATTCAATATTGATCAAGGTAGGTGCAAAGTAAACCACTTGGCGAGTATGGGAATGCAACACAAGAGAGTACCTCTTTTCTTCACGGTGTGAGTATGGAAACAATGTAAGATGTCTCCCAGCAAGGTAGGTATAGGATTACGAGAGAGAAAGACTTTGATGGCATTCACATCTATGAATTGGTCCGAGTTGGGAAATAAAACCAAACCATAGATGAGAAGGGCCATGATATCTTCAAAGGCTTGAAAATCCATATCTTCCCAGAATGAACGAGCCTTCTCCAATAAGAACTTGGTTAGGAACCCTTTAACTCCGCTTCTTGTCTCCCAATTTTCTACAACGTCGGCTCTCTTCAGATGCAGGGCTTCGGCAATGACATCAGGTTTTGGAATCCCTTCTAAACTGGTGAACGTTGCTTGATCAAGCACGTACACTCCTAATAGTAGAGAGAATTCTTCTAGTGTTGGCACCAACTGATAGTCAGGGAAGGTGAAGCAATGATGCATGGGATTAAAGAATTGGAAGAGCACACACATCATCTCTTCTTGGAAATTGGAGGTAGCCAAACCGAGGAGTCGACCATATTTCTTGGTGAAAGGAGAATCTTCGGGCACCCTTGATGCTAATTCTTGGAGTTGAGGGTGTGCTTTCATGAAGCTGATTCGGATGGTATTCTTTCGGATAGGATTCATGGCCTATAAAACTGTAATACCCCAAATTTGTCCTACCCTTCTACTTTTATCTGGTTTATGCCTTGTCGCACTTTTCTCATGTACATATCTCCATTAGGTCATTTAACATTGCATACATTCGCTAACAACATAATTTGGCATGGATGTGATGGAATTAGGATTTCCATGGCTTTGATGGTCATCATCTTCACTCAGGCTTGAATCAGTTGGTTTCCGAGTAAGTGTGGTTTATGGAACTAGGGTTTGGATTCTTAATTATGGTGAACTTCTCCCCCATCAATCTATAAGGCTATCATCCTCGTCAAGGGCAGGATCACTAGGGTTTCACTAAAGGTTTAAGTAAAGACTATGTGAACTAAGGTCTAAGTTCAAAGTCATCTTGAATATCTTCTTCAGGGGTCCAAGACGTCGTTATTCTAGTGCTCATATAGTCGGGACATGTTAGAGGATGTGGATTGTAATCAAGGTGTCATTATTTCAAATACTTGTTGCTTAACACACAAGTTTGGTTTATATTGAGGAAGTGAATTGAATTAGGGATTCATTGAAGTTGTAATTTGATTGGAACTCGTTCATTAAGATGTGAAGAGGATTTGGGGTGAATAAAAGTTATTAAATATTTGTGTGGGATTTCTTAGAATAAAAAGGCATGTATCAAACTCATTTGTTTCATCCAATAATCAAAGTGTCATCCAAACAGTCATTCAAGAACTCATTAAAGATTCAAGTCTCTTCGTGATTACCTCGCAAATTTTTTGGATTCGTGCCATGATTATTTGAATTCATACAAAAGCGTCTAAAGGGAATATTGAAGGGAAAGGAATTTGGATGTTCAAAATCAATTTGAAAGTTCAAGGTTACAAATGAATTACATCATCCAATTTTCAAGTTACAATTCATTAAGGCTTCCATTTATTCAAGTTCCAAAATACATTACAAATATCCAACGATACCATTTACAACCCATAAAAATTATACAAATGAGATGCCTACTTAAACCAGATTTAGAGCCCATCCTACTTGACAAATTACTTTTCTTCGAACTCCATCTCTCTTCTTGCTCAAGATTTGCAGCCATTTATACTTCAGTTTTGGGTGGCTTCAATTTGTTATCTTGGCATCATATTACCCAAAGCTGCCCTGCAACACAAATTCAGTTCTGAAAACATTCAATAATATTTAAACCAGATCCAAAACCACTCAAAATTAGCACAACATGACCGAATCTTGTAGGACTGCTAACTAGTAGAAAATGAGAATTTGCAGAAAAGTCAGAAACAGTCAGCTCAGCATCAATTAACATAGTTAGCTAATAGAGTCCAAAACTAATTCTCTAACCTTACTACTGCACCACAGTCTTTAACAAAATTACTAACAAACCTACAGCCAAATAACCAATTCCAACTTAACCAATCTCAAACAGAATAACAAACTATAACTGCTAGCCAAAACAAGATTATATACACATTCCCTAACCATTTTCTAAAGCAGCCCTGCACAATAACAAACTACAAACAGATTCAAACAGATTCAAACTAACTCCAACTTCCCAACAAATTATAACAGAGATAACAGAAAAGGGAGGGAAGGAATTCACAATTCATTCATTGAGAGCACACAGAAAAACTCAAAATAGAGAGAAAAAATCACCAAAGAAACTCACAAAAAAATTTTGTAACAAACTTATAACCATATAATTGAACTCACCTTTTTCAATTGATAGCTTCTTCAATCATTTCATAGGGATCACTCACAAGAAACCTCTCTCAATTATCTCTTCTCCTATGCATCCATGCTACAATCTTCATCATCATCGCCATCTTCACTCTTTCTCTGCATTCCATAACCAACCGCAACAACTTTTCCTCTCTCTTTTTGTAACCTCACTCATCATAATCTGCAGCACTCGGTGGAAACTGCAAGATTTCGGCATCACATCATCAACCTTCATCTACTTCATACGTCTCCAAGCATCTTCAAATTCGCAACATCTCTCGTACAACAACAATCTTCATCTTCAATCTGCACCAAGAACCCACGACAATTCCGTAGCATCGTAATCATTTCCCCGCTTCTCTACATCAATCGTCATCTCCAACCTTCTCCAGCAAAGCATACTTTCAGCATCAACCTTCAACAACGACAACAACACCGTGAATTCAACAGAATCACAGAGTAACAACGCCGTCACAGAGATTGCAGAAACAAAAGATTCAGAAGAAGAGGAAAATGCAAACGGAAAAAGTAGAGTAATATTTTTGATGATGCTTACCTAAATTTCTCATCATCAATGTTGTTGAAACACCATCGGAGCGTCTTTGATCATTGAATTACGAGGTTGATGGAAGACGAAATCGCGGCGAAGTGAGCAAAGAATGAGAGGCTCTTCGAAGATGACGAGCGAGATTAAAGCTCAGAGGATGGTCTGTAGCGAAATCGAATAGAAGAAAAACAAACGGCGGCGCTGTGTTGGTTTATCGGAACGAGATCGATAGAGACAGAGCGGAGCTGAGAAAGATGAGCAGAGACGGAGGCGCCGCTGCTTTATACGGTGGAAAGGATGAATTGATTGAAGAAAAAAATCGGTCGCGAGTGTGGTGGCTGTAAGATTCCACGGCGGCGCTGAATATTGAGAGGAAGAAGACGATTCTGTTTGAGAAGATGAAGAGGACAACTCCTCTAACCCTAATCTCACGTTCCCATTCCCTTTCAATTTTCTTTTTCTTTTTTTCTTTATTTTATTAGTTATTTATTTCTAGTAAAATAATAAAAAACAAAAAAATAAGCTTGAATTGTTGTTGATAGTCACCGGGCTGGACCGCATTGCCTTGAGCCCATATGCATTTTTGGTAGAATTGCCTTGCTAGACAAAAAACTGATATTGGACCATTTTTTATAGGCCCAGTGCCCAGATTTCAACTATTTTACACCCCTGAATCCAACTTAGCACCCCTGAACTCTTTACATTTATATATTATTTTTCTTCATCAATTTCCTTTTATTGGCTATTGTTAATTTTTATTGCATGAAAAATAACCTAAAAATAGTTAGAATATTTTAGGAAATATTTTAGAATTCCTAGGTTTTCTCTTTAGAATTTTATTAGAATTTTCTAATATTTCTTTTCATGTTCGATAATCATTTTCGTTGCCATTTTTAGCCTAGATTTTGTGATAAAATATTAATGCAACTTTCACAATATTGAATGCTGGAAGATTAATTCTATGATCACTCATGCGGAGCAACTCCTGTAGAGTCTTCTTATCGCGTGCATGGTTATGAAGAGGCAACAAACCTTCTCCGTTCGGTATCGTCACAACTCTATTTTATTCTTGCACTTTACCACTTTCTAGATATCATGTGAAGTAGGGAATAAAGAGCGTGCGCTCGAAGTCGCTGTTTAAAGACCTGTAGCAGGCATTCCGCACTTCATTTACTATATGTGTTGTGCTTTTGTTTGTTTACTTTCTTGTCAATCGATAAGTCACTCAATTTAGCAATTGAGATCACGACTTTGCTCTCAGTGCATGCTCCCTATAGGACTTTATCGCTTTCCATTCTTTCCTGCCGATCGATGAGTCACTCAATTTAGAAATTGAGATCACGACTTCGCTCTCATTGCATGCTCCCTATAGGATAGTTTTTAGACTTTTCTTCGACATGCTAACCTAGGCAGGATCCCTTTAGGTGTGCTTCTTTTTTGCTGGCTTGCTTGCTTTATCCTTGTACATACCATGTTCCCTTAGGATGCACTTGCTCCGTTCGGACGCAAGATAGACCTTAGATTGCAAACCATGCATGCTGACATTAGGTAGAAACTTCCCCTTTCATCCTTGACATAGGGCTACCATTGTATGATAACATTAGGTTAGAAATAGGCTAGTCTCCCTTAGACTCTTTTCTTTCCCTCTTTGCATCCTTGCATCTAAAACAAAAACTTCTTTTCTTAGCAAATCAAAAACATGCTAATCATAGTTAAACCCTTTTTCAAGGTAACAAAAATATAAACAAATTCAAACCATTTTGTGCGCTCGAGCACCTTTTCTCTAAAACCCTTTTCAGGTAAGGACATGATTAGTTTACTTCTGTGCCAACGCATAAGTCTCCAAAGGTCGAGCTGCGGCAGAAGGCGGAATTAACACTGTCCATAAAAAACACAAAACAAACAAAAACATGTGAGCTGAACTACGGTAGCTCTGATTCCTCAAAAAGGATACGTAGGCATTGGGGTAGGGACCAGGCGAGCACAATTTTATTTTCCCTACATTCTTTTCTCCTTTATTTTGCATGCATTCCCTTCAGTAGTATAATAGACAGTAAGCATAGATTAAACACACCCATAAGATAGACAACAAGAGTGGATACCGTAGAGTACTACGGGCGTGTGAGGTGCTAATACCTTCCCCTCGCGTAACAGACTCCCTTACCCGATCTCTCGGTCACAAGACCGTGACTTCTCCCTTATTAGGTTTTCTCGATGTTTACCTTTCCCTACATGTGGGATAAAAGACGTTTGATGACGACTTCATTGTTTTGATGATTTTCAGCCGGTTGTTTCAGTTGGCGACTTCACTGCAGGCTTCCAACGTCGATGTATATTGACATCCCCAGCTGGCGACTTCAATCAGGTTTGACTCACGTTTGTTCTTAATCCACTCACATATACGTCGTCTCCTCTGAATTACAACAAGTGTCTGCACTTGCTATTCGATCCATTTTCCCTTACCTGTTTCATGAGAGATTCGCGGTAGGTCTAGGTTCGGGAAATAACTTCTGATAGGTTTAATGTTGGGATCTTCGAGTGTCATCAAGAGTCGAGGGTTTACGAATCCATGGTTAATTCGAAGGAGAGTTGAGTTTGTGAGCGATGATGGAATAGAAGAAGGAGAAATGACGGTAGGGCCGCTGTTTACGAAACTGATGTGAAGAAGACAGGGTTGTCGTGACTACCATGGCGCGGAGAAAATCAGAATAAGAAGAAAGAAGATGATGAATTCGTCACGCCACATTCGAATAGATGAGGTTGAGGCTGGGTTCGACGGTAACGATTGCTGACTCTAGGCGGTGAACCGAAACAGAGATTGGGATGCCGTTTGAAGAGAGAAGATCGTTGTCACTGAAGAAGATAACGGCCATAATTCCAAACCCTGTGTCATTCTCTGGCCCCAATTTTATGTATTATTTATTTTTTATTATTAATTGATTCAATATCATATAATTGTAAAAAGTGTAGATAGTTCAAATAAGGATAAATTTTGATGCAGTTGAGGCTGGACCGAAATCCAGTCTTCTCAGGCCCATACTACAATACTTTTGGAAGCTTGGATTGCAATTGAACAAAGATGGTTAATGGACTCATTCAGAATGGGCTTAGTGGCATTCTAATTCTTGCTGCAGCATACCTCCAGGATTCAACAATACACCCCCTCTGTTTTACTACTCTTACTTTTTTATGTTATTTTTAGCTTCCTTTTTTTCATGATTTTAATGATGATAATGATATAAAATAGTAGCATATTATTTTATTCTTTAGGATTATTCTTTAGAATTTTATTAGAATTTTTTTATTATTTTATGTTTAACAATCATTTTTATTATCATTTTTTTGCTAAGATTTTATGATATTATATTGATGTAACCATCGCAATGGGGAATGCTTGGAGGTTAATTCTTTGATCACTCATGCAGAGCAACTTCTGTAGAGTTTTCTTATCACTTGCGTGGCTTTGAAGAGGCAACAGACCTTCTCCGTTCGGTATCATCGCGACCTCATTATGTTCCTCATTTTCGCACTTTATTGCTTTCCAGATACCATGAGAAGTAGGAAATAAAGAGTGTGCGCTCGAGGTCGCTGTTTAAAGACCTGTAGCAGGCATTCCGCACTTCATTTGCTATATGTGTTGTGCTTATGTTTGTTTATGTTCTTGCTGATCGATGAGTCACTCAATTTAGAAATTGAGATCACGACTTCGCTCTCAGTGCATGCTCCCTATAGGATAGTTTTTTAGACTTTTCTTCGACAGGCTAACCTAGGCAGGACCTCTTTAGGTGTGCTTCTTTTTTGCTGGCTTGCTTGCTTTATCCTTGTACATACCATGTTCCTTTAGAATACACTTGCTCTGTTCGGACGCCAGTTAGACCTTAGATTGCAAACCATGCATGCTGACATTAGGTAGAAACTTTCCCTTTCATCCTTGACGTAGGACTACCAGTGTATCATAACATTAGGTTTAGAAATAGGATAGTCTCCCTTAGACTCTTTTCTTCCCTTTTGCATGTGCATCTAAAACAAAACTCATTTTCTTAGCAAATCATAAAACCATGCTAATCATAGTTAAACCCTTTTTCAAGGTAACAAAAATACAAAATAAATTCAAATCATTTTATGCGTTCGAGCACCTTCTCTCTAAAACCCTTTTCAGGTAATGACATGATTAATTTACTTCTGTGCCAACGCATAAGTCTCCAAAGGTCGAGCTGCGGCAGAAGGCGGAATTAACATTGTCCATAAAAAACACAAAACAAACAAAAACATATGAGCCGAACTACGGTAGCTCTGATTCCTCAAAAAGGATACGTAGGCATTGGGGTAGGGCCCAGGCGAGCACAATTTTATTTTCCCTACATTCTTTTCTCCTTTCTTTTGCATGCATTCCTTTCAGTAGTATAGTAGACAGTAAGCATAGATTAAACACACCCATAAGATAGATAACAAGAGTGGATACCGTAGAGTACTACGGGCGTGTGGGGTGCTAATACCTTCCCCTCGCGTAACAGACTCACTTACCCGATCTCTCAATTGCAAGACCGTGACTTCTCCCTTCTCAGGTTTTCTCGATGTTTACCTTTCCCTACATGTGGGATAAAAGACGTTCGATGGCGACTTCATTGTTTTGATGATTTTCAGCCGGTTGTTTCAAAAACAAAACAAAGATAAATTCTTAAATCCTTGAAATGGTTAGTGAGAATGCTTATGATGTTATGATGTTTATGATGTTATGTACAAGTAAGCAAGTTGTTATGTACACACAAAGAAGATAAGTCCTTAGGTTTAGGATTGCATGGAGTTGGTAGGTAAGTACCCTCTTGAAGTTTAGTTGGCTCAACCTGTCCTAGAAAGTAACTGGGTTCTAGGGGATCTCAATATCACTGACTTTTCTTTTAGGCATTGTCTCAGAACAATCAATCTTTTCTTGTGGACGAGATATCCCAAAAGTCCAATCTCAATGAGCGTATTATCGAGTATCAACCAATTTTCAGCTTTCCACCAAAATTGGCTATCTCACTACTTCCTAATGGCCAAGTTGTTCAATTAAGGTTCTAAGATCAGTTAGTGCTTCATGACACCGCTCAGCGGCCCCGTGTTCTCCTTGATTCAACACAAGGGATACCAATACCAACAAATGCGTCACACTGACGTAGCTATTGCTTCAACCATATCGGTCTATGTCATACAATTTCCACAATCTATTGCTACTTACCTAAAAAGGTATCCCAGATCCAAGTAGAGGATCAAAACAAGCCCAAACAAGGAACCAAAATGTAAAGCAAACAAGTCAAGCAAATAAAATCAAGTAAAGGTGATCTATCCATAAGGTAACTGTTGTACCCCAAAATTTTCCCTCCCATTTCATCAATATTTTCTCACCACAAGACCCTTGGAGCTCAAGATCAAATTAGGGTTTGCTCTGCTCAAGACTCCTCCTTGCACTGTTGACCCAAATTAGGGTTTGAGTTTGCACAAAGATGTTTTGACCTAAAATGCCCAAGATGACTTTCATGCTTCATGTTGGACTCACAAGTTTATCCATACCAGGTTTCAAGCCTTGATTCCAATCTTTGCC